ATGGTGGACGGCGCTAGATATGTTTTGCGGTGTCCTTTTTATTCGGGGCAATGGGAAACCACACTTGTCTCATGTGCCATGTACTTCAGGAGAACCTTCGTGCAAACACCACCCCGCGGGCCAAAACGCTACCCGGCTGCATAGGATGCTAGTACATGAGACCGTAGTGGTCTTGGAACATTATTATTCCGCACTCGCTCCTAAGGCTGGTGGATCAAATCGATCACATTGTTGGGCAGCTCAAATCCACCCAGAAATCCATGATGGATATTCAGGGTGATGCACTGCTTTATCCCGATAGGTGGGTGTTGTTTTTTTTTTTATCCACTGCTTTCAGCTATATATATACATGCATGTTCAATGCCAGGGACTTTGAGTCGCAACTGCAAAAGCTTTACGCATCGTGTACGAAGTTGGATGTCACACTGAACAATTACATCGTGCGTTCCAAGTATGCAGCTTAATTTTGCATTGTGTTCATGGTGAAGTTCATGGTGAGAATGCATACACGCTGCTAGAACATGTCGGATCCAATCCATATTGGACTGAGGTCCATCAAGAAAGCCCCCAAGGGCACGGGGGGTACTGAGAAAAAACGGGCGTCTGCCAAAGCGGCTGGCAAAGCCAAGAGTGCCTCCCGAAAGAGGAAGGGCGCTGAAGAGTAGATTTGTTTGGTCTCCTGCCACTGGTGCAGGCTTTGAACCGCATGTCGCAGGTTCATGTTTTGATCTAACGGGGCTCTCAAGGCATAGACTCAAGTGCGCAAGAGGCTTCATCCTTTAAACTTCAAACTCGTACCGTGCACAACTTTATATTCCAAAGCCTGGTGCATTCGAGAAGCCTTGAGCTAACTTCTTGAAAGAGCTGGTAGAGGTTCAAAACAATTTGCAAATGCAGCTATTGTATCAGCACATATCAGCACCTTTTGTTGGAACCTGCCAAAACTTATCAGTCCTTCCTTCCACCCATGAAGGCCCCAACCACTAGCCCATTCATCTGCCTGGGCAGGTCTGTCCTCCAGTGATGAAGACGAAGATCGAAAAGGCTTCTTGGTTGCAAGCTCCTGCAAAAGGCTTGTCAAGTGCAGGTGTGAGGGAGCGTTCTTCCTAGGTACGGGCTCTGAGCTAGCTACAGAGCTCCTCAGAGGTGTGGAACAAGGCTCACTTCCTGCCTACCAAGCTGTTCGACTAGCAGGCCTTGTAAAGAATTCTCTCCAGCAAGGCAACAAAGCTGGTCCTTTAGCATCGTTTATATAAAACTTTGTTTTGTCTTTCTATATATATATAGATAGATAGATATCTGATTGAAAACCGGTCCCATATACATCCATCCTAGGAGTGGCAATAGACCCACACTTATCACTCTTGGGTGGGTCTCGGGGATCTCGTGATCATGCTGTCCGCAATGGCTGCCGGGATATGCACAAAGTTATGGGGAAGATTGGAGGCTACCTACCAGTGGACATCAAGTTCGAGAAAGTCCCTGTGAGAACAATTATCAAATCTCGAGTTGGTGAGACAATGATGGATATTGCAACCCTTCCACTGTCGTCTTGGTTCAAAGCTTCAATCAATCTTGGTGGCCATTTCTTCTTTGGGGGGAAAAGTCTGGATCATATTGAAGGTTTCATGGAAATCTTGGACAAGTGGTGGCGAAACTACCGGATGTTGGATCCTGATCATCCATGCTTTTGCAGGGATGGTCAGGATGTGGAGGAGCAGTTCAAGTTCTGGATTCCCATGGCACTGCATGGTGATGAGGGTCGTGGCCGCTACAAGCGTCCCATCATGATTTGCAGTTATCAGCCTGTACTGACCAACTTCAAAGACTTACCCAATTTGAAAGGGTGGGAATTGCCAAAAGTTGTTTCAAGAACAGGGGAGGTGTTTGATCGTTTTTGAAGGGGAATAGTTTCCAAACGGCTGCCCCAGCCTTGCAGGGTCACCTATGGCAACCGCCTATTGTATGTTGCTCTGCCTTCACACCTGTACGCTAAAGCCGACAAGACCATAGATGCATTGGTGGCTGCCCTTGTTCAAGACTTTAACAAATTGGCTGATGAAGGGGTGGAAGACCCTCTATTGCAAGTTAAGTTGGCACCTTTTATACTGCATGTTTCTTATATTAATAGTGCAAATACCTCCTCCAATCTGCAAACACTCCTCCTCACCAGGTACGTGCTGGTGGCAAAGTTCATCGATTCAGGCCAATTTTTGTCGGATCCAAGGGCGACTGGCCCCATCTTAGGAAGATCCACAAGCTGCAAACGGGTTTCACCTCCCTTCGCATTTGTCATTTATGTGCTGGGACAGTACCTTTGGAACAGGATCAAACTTTTTAAGTTCTTTTAGGGAGACCGCTCTCGAGTAGAACAGTTTCTTTGGTGAACAGCCAAAAACATCCATCAAGCTGAGGCATGGTGGGATTTCTCACCAGATGGTTTGCTTAGAAGCCTGCAGCTGGACTATGACAATCCTTCCCCCTACAAGGCCAGAGCGAACCCGCCGATCTTTGACCTACCAGGTGCACGGTCCCCTCACCGTATACGGGCAGACCCAACCCATACATATGCCATAGGCTATGGGAAGGATGAAGTGGCAGGAATTGTCTTGACCTTGGAAAAGGTTGGTCACTTCGGAAGAGGAGGTCAATTCCAGAGTAGGCTGGACAATGCGTTTCAAAAGTTTGCAACCTTCTGCAAACGCATGAAGAAGAACACCAGCATTACATGCTTCACCAAACAAGACTTCAAGATTAAGAACCCAGGTTGCAATATGCATCTCGTGTGGGTTGTTTCTTTATCCACTGGCCCAAAATTATAGGCTTATCTTATCAGAATATGGACACCCCAAAAGACCGGCCATCTAAGGAAAGGCAGCTTTGCATGCTTGAGGGGACGGGGGCACGACACCGGTGCTGTGGGCTCCTGGCTTGAACACGAGCTCTCTTTGGTGGATATGGCTTCTTTGGTGCCTTAGCGTTGAGCTGGTTCGATAATTCCGCTGATTCTATGGGTCCATGACAACCAAGGATCCTACAGACATCAAATTGGTGGAGGTTATGCAGTATACCAACAAAGCGTCTGGTGTTTTTTGGCGAACCCTCAACAACGGTGCCCTTTTCTTGAAAGGTGATGAGCTAGATCGAACCATAAAGGCAGGATGGGCCATGGTTGACTTTTGGATGCACATGTATGTATAGGATGTAAGAGAAATAAGGGTTGCATCTTTGATATGTTTATGTAACCTAAGGAGGGCTACATATGCTTAAGTGCACTGGCTGCTCAGCGCAAGTGGTTATTCTTCAGGGTGAGACCCAAAATTCACATCCAAGCACACTTTGTGTCACTTGGCTTGCAAATGTGCAAGCCTTCACTGCAAGCCCAAATGATTAGGTTCATAATCTGTTCATATCCAGCTCCTACCCAGGCTCCAGCTACATCACGACCGAGTCCGTGCAGGTTTTGGGATGAACCCAGCCGTATGGATGTGCTGGGGAGATGAAGATTTTGTAGGGAAAATTGCCCGTGCCAGTAGGCGTCAGCATAACAGGACAACATCCCTGAGAACTGTTCAGGTAAGCCTCATGGCGTATAAACGCCAATGGGAAGAAACATGGTTGAAAGTTGAAACCTAGCAAAGCTAGGGGACCGGGCCAAAGGCCAAGATGATGCTGCGCCAGCAAAGAGCACTGCTTTGATGAAGTGTTTGTTGTATGTCTGTGCGGTCTGGCCTGAACGCTTTTTGAAGCATGAGCGCTTTTTGGGAGTTTGTAGCGGTTTTTGGGAGTTGGTAGCGCTTTTGGAAATGAGCGCTTTTAAGTGCTACGAATGAGGCTCCAGGAGTAACTCAATTGTTACTGTATAATGTATTGACTCACTCAACTCAGAAGGACGAGACAGGGCGGAAACGTCGCTTTCAGCCTGCGTAAACAGGAGTCGACAAATTAAAAAAGCACATCAGCACATCGGCAGGCCAGCGGTTTTCGTTCGTGTACCACCCGCACGAAACGGAATCTGGGTGGATAGTGAAGGGAAATACATGGTGAGGGGTGTCCGTAAACGCTGTAAACCACCCGAACTCCGCAGTACTGGCATTTATTTTCAAGACTTTCTTGCTCTTTCTGGTCCTTTTTGGTCGCCCAAACACTCGCACGACCAGTGCAGTTTCCACGGCAGTGGTCCTGTACAAGCCAGGGGCTCTCAGGGTGATGTGACTGCTTGGAGAACTCAACACGTCGATGACACGATGTCGCTGGGCATCCTGGTTAACTCTCGACCCGATCCGAGGGCGGATCCGTGGCGGATCCGCAGTGAATCAACATGAATCAACTAGCCATGTCTCCACAGGTCCCCAGCAAATCGCACCAAGCCACCGGTCCACAAGTGAAGGCATGATCAGTCTAGGGTCGACCAACCGGTGGGCATATCCCTCCGTGAACGAACCGCCTCGAAAACCACGGGAAGCGGACCTTGCGTTGTGTGGAGGCTTTCTGTACCGGACCCCTCTTGAGTGAAACTCCATAGTTGAGGTCCGTTGATGACCCTGAAAGAGAGGTGCACGGGTCCTTTGTTTAGCAAAACCCCTTGACGTTGTAACTTCAACCCTGGAGTTCTGAGCGCCGTTGGGCCTTCTGCGAGAAAACACAGTTCGAGAAACCCATCAATTGATGTTCTTGAAATGGTGTATTGTGTAGAACGTGTTCTCCTGTCGTAGTGTTTTCTTTTGTGCTGTAGTTGAGACTAAGGCCAAAGGCTTTTGGTAAATCTGTGCCAAGTCGAAGAGGAACCATAAATTTGTGTCGTGGAGCCACAGCATGTCACAGCCCCCCTTCCAAAAGCCCTCTGGGCAAAGGCGCCTCTCCAGTCCATCATATGTCCAGAGACTGGAGATGGGCGTACAAGTAAAGGATCTTTCCCAGCAAACGCTCGGGTGCAGGTTGGATCAGAATCTGTTGGAACGAACTGATTCTGATAACACTAAACACTTTGGATATGATTCTCCACCGCATGTGGCACTTGATCTGATCATACCTGATCATCGATATCCCTTTCAAGAGCCTTCGGAGCTCCATCATATTTCCAGGAGTCCCTGAAGGCGTCCATGATCGACAGCGATCCGAGTCCTGCCAAAGCAAAAAAACTGCTCGAGGTTGGAGCCGTCTCCGAGCCAACTCCTGACATCACTTCTTTTCAGACTCTAAATCACATGTTTTTATTTTTGTTCAGGTGGAACAAAGATATTTATATAACAAGGATCAACAAGGCTCACCCTTAGATCTCCAAAAATGCACCGATGATGCAAGTTCTCAGACATCGCTTCGGCTGTGATGGCTCTTCGCCATCTCAAAAAGGAGGAGGAATGCTCCATTTGCCTCAGGCACCGCAGGTGGCACCGCGCTGCGCGGCTTTCCGCTTTCATGCCCAAAGTCACGAAGGCCCCGACGTGGGACGATGTCCCATCCGAAGCGAAGAGATGCTTCTTCGAATCTACCTGGACCCGACCTCAAGTACCTTAGAAAATGGGACATGACTGACATGACCCCATTAAAAAAAACAGGTACGACTGTACCCATTTTCCGAGGTACGAACTGAGACTCCAGGTAGTAACAGTAACAAATGCATCGCTTCTAGTAACAATCGCATTACTATTACTATATTACTACTAGTAGTAACAAGAAGCTACTATATGTAGCAAAAGATAGGGATTCGATCACGTGAACCCTTTGGAATGGCCTCCAGCGGCTACTGTAGCTCCTCTAAGCTTGCGGCTCGCGTCCACTCTTACCTCCCAAACCTCCCCTTTTCTTAGCCCCCCCCCTCTTGCATTCAGCACGACACAAGCGCAGCACGACGTGCAGCTTGGGCAAAGAGACTCCAGCTGTCGGTGTCAACTCCACTGAGCCCTTCAGCTCTGCCGCATCGTGCTGATGCATCTGACGCACCTGACGACCATTCGACTGACGCACCCGGCCAAAAAGGGACCGTTGTTAGGGACGCGGGGCGAAGGCGGGCGGGTCCAAATGCCGAAACCGCGAGGTTCGGGTCGGTCATTCCTCTGACTTCCTGACCAACGTCACGTGGCTCGCGGAACACGCCTTTCAAGGCCCACTTAGCTTGGGCAGTCACACATTGCAACTCCCTAATGGTTCGGAACACAGAGAGAGGCATCCTAAACATTGAAATAGGGAGACAAAATGCAACTCAATTTAAAAGAGGGCCTTTGGGTTTCCCATATGCAGCAATACTTGATATAGTGATTGTCCTGGCGCACGATACCAGAAAAGCAGGGCATCGGTGCCTTACCAGCGGAATCCACCAGCTGGACGCTGCCCTCCACACACAAGAGATATCCTTGGCGTTGCTGATCCTTGGCAGTCGCATGGCCGTCACCGGTGAGTTGTGGCCATCACCGGTGGCTGGCGAGGCAGGTTGAGACACGGGACATGACCTGCTTTTCCAGCTTTTTTCTCGGTTCCACCGGCGCATGTGTGTTCTTTTTTTGCGCTGCGCAGACCTGAGAGTTAGGACATGCGCTTCTCCACTTGGTGAGTTGGAAGAGAGGACATGTGCGCTGGCTTCTCGCATGCAGAACGAGAGACGGAGGAGCTCCCGGTGACCCAACTCTCCCATCCTTGTAAAAGCTGCTAAGGCACAATCCTCATTGCTTCAGGAGTTCGACCAGCCTGGAGCTCTGACACGTAGATGTTGCCTTGGTCATTGCGGGACCCAAGAATGAACGGAATAGACGACCTGCTGGGAGGTCAAGCTACCAGAAACGGGCAACCCAAGTGTGATGACCCACAGCCACATTCAAATGACTAGTCAGTGACTAGACTCTTGATGAATAAACCTCCCCAATAGGAAGAGGTTTGTTCAATTCATGTCTGGGTGAAACATGGTGAAACATCTTTCTTTCTATAGTCTACATGACCGGGCGCACCCGACTTCCACCGGGCTCTCGGACAATCTTGCTGGATCTGCACTGGAGCTTTCACAGACCGATGCTCAAAATCCTTGGGCGGGAAGACGGCGCAACCAACGACGTGACGAGACGAAACGAGTGGAAAGGGCCGGGCTGCGATGGATTCGCCGTGGTGGTTTTGGGCCTCCAGGTGTGGAGCTTTCACGGCCGAAAAGACTTGTCCGTTTCCCTGTCATCTCAAGAACATCTTCTGAGCTTCCTAGTTGAAGGCATAGAATAGGTTCTTTGGGAGTTTACGACTCACAAACCAAGAAGTATTCACGAAACCTCTCCGCCCGCCCGAAAGACACATGGCAGCTGCGACGGGCGTCCGCAGCGACCAAAGCCCAGCGATTCTGTCGCTCAGCATCAGTGCAGGTGTAGGAACCATAGGCTGGCTCAAAGCCACGCCTGTTTTTGGTCCAAATCGACGTATTCTGGATCCGTGTGAGCGAGTTCATGTGAGCAGTGTGTAATTGACACGGTCATTTGACAAAGCAAAAACAAGAATGCACACGTTCCAGGAGCCAAAAAGGGGTGGTTTTTAGTCCCATCCAGTGAGTGGATGTTCTGGGCACTCCTATATCCTCCAAGTTCGGCACCCCGTCTTGTGACTGCTGGTTTACACACTTTTACTGGCCACGGACAGGTTGACTTCAGGAGATGTACGAGGAATGAAGGCGACAAGGCCACCAGGCCACCGATACCAAGGAATATGACCTGCAGTCGGCCCGTTCCCACCTTGGAAAATGGCTATTACTGAATATTATATATATAGGGATTTATAGGGTTATGTCCTGTTCTCTAAGGATTCTATGGTACTTTGGAGTCAAGATCATAAAAGTTTTCACATCGCAGTCTGTCATGTCTGTCACCTGCTGTCACCTGCCGACATGACCATTTCTTCACGTCTTTTTGCGTCGCAGCGCGTCGCGGAGCGGACGTCGTCGCGCCTGGCCTCCGCGGTACCACCCAGCATTGGATGAAGCGAAGTGGCTCATCATGCAAATTGTGCTCTGAATGTCGGATGCCACGCCCAGCCGTCATGAACCTGATGGCTCGGACTTTCCCCGTAGCGCCACTACGCGAAGCGAAGACGAGCGAAGAACCCTGCTCCGGGCGGAAAGCGGTGTTCGGACGAGGAGGACACCGGCGGTGTGCTGACCAAAAACACCACTCGATGTGCGTGCGTGCTGACCAAAAACATGAGGCAATACGAGTCTGCGCACAATACGAGTCATGGGTTGACAGTCCACACCCAAGACCTGTGAGAAGTCAGTTTCGAGCAATCGAATCAGCACAGATTGTCTCCTCATTAGGCAGGGCAGCACGAAATAGCACGAAGCAGTACACATGCAACAGATCTTTTTCGCGTGAAGATCAGGCATGTCAGGCGAACATGAACGCGTTTTGATGCGTTTTGTTTATTTCTCGGTGAGTAACTGCACACCACCGCGCCCCAAGGTCTCCTCTGTGTCGATCGAGTCCTGTCGCCACAATGTGTCGGCGAATGAGGAGCAAAGGATATCAAACACTCCATGGGACTGGAAGATTCACATGCACTGGTTGAAAAGGGGTGAATGTATTAATCCCCACCTGGGTCCCGAATGCTTGGTGGAGCAAGGAGCGATCGGACGCTACTAGGGCCTTAGGGGCTCCTGGCATCGCTACTAGGAGGAAACAGAATGAAGCACAACATGGTTGGAAGCATGCGAAACGACCATCAGCCAGACCATCAGCCGATACTCCTTTGCAGGTCTACTAGTGCGACTCCATGGTCCTCCCAGCAGGTGATTCTACCCGTTTGGGCTCACGACGGACCCCAGCGGATCAACGGCTCGAGATCACCTGATCATGGCACGCTTGGCTCAGTTGTCCGTTTCTTCTAGTAGAATCCCTGGTGGCCACTTGGACAACGAACGATCAAAAGCAGCACTGGGACAGCCGAGAATTCCTGAAGGCATGTGCTTTGTGTTGCCACTTGAAGAATGATGTAGTGGCTTTGGCACAAAGGACTTAACAGCCACTTGGTTGCCTCTTACTTCCAGTGGATGATCCAACCTGTCCTTGTGTGTCAAGCGGCCGTTGATGATGAAGGTCAGAATCTCCATGTCCCGGTGGGGATGCATTCCTATCCGAAACGATCCACAACTACATCTCGCTGACATTTCACTAAAAAAAATCACTATAGTGGGGGAGCCTGGCCCCTGTCACAGACGTTCCTCAAGAACTTACACCCGGGAAGAAACCCACATTGCAACCTGGCTTGGACCGGGACGACGATCTTTCGAATACCAAGCCAATGCTCTTGAGTCTTGAGGTTCCGTGTGGGTCAGTGAACCAGGGCGTTGCTGTTTTCCACTTCGAGGCTCCAAAGCCCCGCCGCGGCTGTACCAGGTCATCGTTCATGACACGCAGCACACCAAACTGGGAAGGCCCTGAGTGGTACTCCGCAAAGTTGAAATGGAAGCGCGACTTCAACCAGTTCTTGTTCCTCAGAACTTGAACTGCCAGGACGCTGAAAGGTTGCGAAGCTCACACGGGAAGACTTTGTGTGACATTGACATAGTTGTTAACTTATCAACGTAGAAAAACACATGAACACCGAAATTCGTAAATGTCCAAAGCAAGCTCACAATGATTTAGCGGAATTTGGCAAACAAAAACACCGGAGGTTTCTAGTCTTAGTTTTATCAGCTGTCACAATTTGAATGGACAAATATGTGTTTTCAACATTGTCAAACATATACCAACAATTCTAGCCAATGGTGAGTCCGCAACTGGTGTTTTGTAGCAAGAACACTGTAAGCAAACCACAATTGTTCAAACAACATGCTATATTCTAATGCCGACAGAAAGCTTATTTCGAGCTATCCCGACCTGCCCCTATACACGGGTGTGATAACTGCGTTGGAGCGACTGGCGAGGCATCCCCAGGTCAATGTGTGTTGTGGTTACCTTTAAATTTGGTATTGTCATTATGTGTAAACTATATGTGTATCGATTGTCTGTTGATTGCTTGGGTGTTCGTCCAGGTGTATGTGTATCGATTGTTTGTTGATTGCTTGGGTGTTCGTCCAGGTGCGCTGTCAAGTATCACATGCGCTGTGGTGATGTTTCGCGAATGTTTGTGTCATTGCTTCCCCCATCTTTCCCAGACACTCCATGGGACTGCCATATATGCCGATCAGTTGACCCCCCCTGGCACCACGCCAACTGATCGGCAGTCCTATGACAGTCCCATGGGTCGTGTTTGGGTCTTGTACTCGTTGTCTTTGTCTACTCTGGGGGGCGTTGACTCTTACAGGCACTGGAACTTCAAGCCAAACACTTCCCTGAATGATTCTGGAACTCAAACACATAAATAAGATGTGTTTCTGGATCATGAAGAAACACATCTCGCTTGTTTTTCCGAGCATCGTCCATTTCTGTCCCTCTGACGAGCTTTTGGATGGATTCTCATCGTTGCCAAACATGTCCGGCTCCGGTTGGCTCTGAAAGAGCTGCCTGAAATCGAGCTCTGCTCGCTCTGCTCTCGAGCGTTGAGTGGAATTTGATTCGATGGAATGTGCAAGTTAGCTGGATGGAATGTGATATATATAACTATCCCTGGAACCTGAAACGACCACTTTTTTTTGGTCGTTTGAAAAAGACCATTTTTTTTGTCGTTTCAAAAAAATACGGTCGTTTCATCTTACAGTCATTTTCTGTATGAAAAATACGGTCGTTTCATCATGTATAATTTGCATGTGTATATACGAGTTTCATCAAATAGTATTCTTTTGAACGTTGCTCATATTCGTCAGCCTGTACAGCTGAAAGAGGTGAAATGTGAACGAATTCACCAGCCCTTTGAAACACTCATTCACCCTTTGGGTGAACTCTTTCACCGGCCCTGGCCACTCACTCAGGCACGTGTGTCAACACCACACATTTGGCACACCACCAGGCATTGCCTCCTGCAATCTGAGAGGTTGCGAGCGATATCCTGCAATTGCCTCAGACACACAAGTTTTCAAACAACAAAGCAACACTAATTGTCTTGGGCTTGTGAAAGCCCAAGACAAATCCATGAGCACTAGACCATGCGCAAACACTGAATGCAACCACGCAGCCTGCTCATCCAGCGATGCTCTTGTGAGCCAACCGTGCACCAATCATCAAGGACATCGATGCTGTAGCGTTGAAGTTCCTACATGCAAGAAACATGCCACAAGCAATCAAAAATTTTCATGGATTTGGTTGACAACTTTGCCATGCACAAACATAAAACAAATTGAGCCCAGAGTCAAACTGAGCTAGATCGAGGGATGCCTCCAGCGCTTGCAAATTGCGCATTACCCGTAAGGCGTGTTGTAGCTCCGGCGTCGGCAGTCCCACTGGTGCAGCATTCCACTGTGCTTGAACAGCAGGTGCATTGGCCTCAGCCTGCTTTGCCACTGCCTTCCGAGGCACTGCTTGACCAAGCACTTGGTCAGCTTGGCCTGGCGGAGCCTTCCGCGGCACTGCTTGAGGAACTTGGTCAGCTTGGCCTGGCGGAGCCTTCCGCACCACTGCTTGAGATCCAAGAGCACTCTGCAGCTCTGGTGGTGGAACTTTGTACGGCGGTGAGTACGACACAGGGCGCCCTGCCAACACAAAAGGTGGCGCATCCGCCGACATGGCAGTCCCAGATTTGGCTTTGGCAGGATCAGCCATTGAGCCACTCATGCAAAAAAAACTTGCTCGGGCCAAAGTATGCTGGCACATCAAAACATCAAAACATACATGCAGCAGTGCACAGCATTTGCGCATAAGTGGCCCTCCTCACACCTGGTCTGTTTTGAAGTACATTGTGTACTGCACACATATCACGGATAGGTACCTGTGAAGGCACCTATCCAGCAATTCGGGCACTCACATGTTTCCCACATAAAGGCATTGTGAAAGCCCATACATGGGAACCATGTGAAAGCCCATGCATGCATGGGCATTGTGAAAGCCCATACATGGGAACCATGGGAACCTTGTGAAAGCCCATGCA